CTACTCACTACTCACTACTCACTACTCACTACTCACTACTCACTACTTACTACTTACTACTCACTACTTACTACTTACTACTTACTACTCACTACTCACTACTCACTACTTACCACTACCACTACGACGACGACGACGACTACTGCTGCTACTACTACTACTACTACTACTACTACTACTTACTACTACATACTACTACTTACTACTACTTACTACTACTTACTACTACGACTACTACGACTACTACGACGACGACTACTACTACTAACAACTACTACTAACCACTACTACTAACAACTACTACTAACTACAACAACAACACAACTACTACTACTACTACTACTACTAACAACAACAACTGCCACTACTACTACTACTACTACGACTACTACGACTACTACTACTACTACTACTACCTACTACTAACAACAACAACAACAACTACTACTACTACTACTAACAACAACTACTACTACTTCTTCTTCTACACTTCTACTTCTACTTCTACTACTGTTTCAGCAAGAAGGCTTATTTCATTTTCTTTGGTTTGTGAAGGCCATAGGTCTTGGACTTTCACACTTGTTCTCAGGCAGAGGGCCAAGGCACGCAAGGCACGAGTGGTTGTCGACCAGAAGAGCCACTGGTCAGCCACCTGGGTCTTCTCAGGTGAAATTGACATCATCTTGTTGGCCTTAGAAGCCCTCCGTCGTATGGCGCTTCAGGACCAAAACGAAAGCAACGCAACCGGACGAGAGCACGGTTTTTATCGAACTGAACGAGAGGAACCCGAGGATCAAATGACGAATTTGGAGGTGGGACACCTTTTGAATGAGATCTTTTTGAATCATGCGTCTGTCAATGCCTTGTCAGCGCGCTGCCTCCACGATTGCCGCAAACAAGTGGCGAAACCCTGTAAAGAGTTTGAAACTCAGCAATGATCGTCGCTTAATTTCGTTGTTAGCAGGAACTACTGTGGCTAGGGCATCAGACAATGCTGGTTATGAATGATGATTAAGGCCTAGCGCGGCTGTTTTGGCTAGGTGCACCTTTGTCCAAAGAAGGCAGGGCGTTCGTTGTTTACTTGTGCATAAAGTTGGTCTAGCCATCATATCAACATTCTCCTTTTTTCACTGAAAACTGCGACTGGATGGTTCCCAGGCAGCTTCAAGGATCACTTTGACTCAAAGGCTTTGCCTGCTCAGATTCGTTCGAGACAGCACGAGTTGGTTGGGAACCTGGTAAGACTTGCTGTAACGTATTGTTATGCTTTCGTGAGACGTGGAGGCTCAAGACTGGTGCAAGTTGGTCAGTCTTCCTATTTGCTCAGGATGGACCTGACTTAGCACTGCTGTTGGCTGCCATGAAGGGTCCCAAAGGTGAGCTAACCCGATTGAGACTGAGACGACATTAGCTGCTTGACCCGTCGGGTTCCTGGGAGGCCTCAAGGACAGCGCGCTTCAGTCCAAGGCACTGCGAAAACATGAAGGGACGGCCGAGGACGCCCCGACTGTCCGAAACGCTGGGACTCCCGAGTTCGGGGTTTGTGGTTCGACGAAGCGTGACCGCATTTTCGGCCTTCGCTTGTTCAATTTGATGCAGGTGGTCCTGCGCCTCAAGGAGAAGAATATCCATCGTGGTCTTTCTGCCACGGACCGTTCAGAGCATTGAAGATCCAAGTTTCATGTATCACTCAGAATATATTTTTGGAAGCATTTCTCATCCAGGACTTAGTGGAGATGGCTGAAGCCTTGGAGGTCAGACATGTACCTCTGCTTGCTCTGCCCGGATTGTGCAAGAGGCTGAACAGATCCAACCAGCAAAGTTGCATTGACCAGGAGTTGGGAGCAACAGATGAGGCTGCTTCGTGGTTATTTTGAGAGTCCTTGGATCTTGCACCCTACAGTCCTTCTTCTTCTTCTCCTTCTGGTTTCTTTCTTCACTGAGTTTGTCCGTTGACATGCTGTGTCCTATCCACGTGGCAAGTCTCACGAGGCGGCCTTGCGGCCACTTGGGCAAGAGGCCCTCCGCCGTCGAGGACGATCGGGCACCAAAACGCAGAGGTCGACGTGTCTCGAACTGTTACAGTCGGAAGAACGCAGAGATTTGCACTGTGAAACACTTTGCCAGCTGGAGCATGCAAAGCCGAAAAAGCAGTGGTTGTAGAATTGACCTACATCCTTCTACAATACATCCTAGATCCCACCTTGGTGGCATTGAGCACAGTTGTAGCCGCTTCAACGTGCATCCAGGAGAGCTGACGCCAGATGAATCACACCGCATCCACACGGCTTTCCAGGCGAACGCTGTGACAGACAACCTGGTAGCGAGCGCCAACCGAAGAGCGTCCTTGCTCCTGGTAGCGATGCCAGGAGCCCCTAGTAGCGTTCTTGTTCCTAGTAGTAAGGCCAGGA